GCTCTCAATCATATTATATTTTACTCCTATGTTCAGTACAAAAGTCAGTTAAGTAGTCATTCAAACGCATTTGATGACGTACACGATATGCCTTAATGCTATGTGTTATGCCCCACACTTCCTCAAGCCATCTAAGAAATGATTTGCCATTACAAAATATAATTTTAATTTAATTGTTATCTCAATTGCTTATCTGTGCTATCACAGAAATGCCTAGGATAAGAGTATGATATCCTTAATTGCAATGTGAAATGCCTACTGTGTCAATAATGATTCTCGCCTCCGAGTGTTCGTTCAAATTTGCACCATTCATTTTTAATCAATGCAAAAGGCCAAAGGCACTAATTAAATTTGCTGGTCACGACTCTGAGAAGTACTTACCAGCTGCAAAGTGACGATCAAGGATCAAAGATATATTATTGCGAAATGCCCATTGGTGGTGAGATAACTTCTGCGCAAAGCGCGCTTAGAGTTGCCAGATTTAGTCCGAAATAGTCCATTTGGCTACAAAATTGGCGATATGCCATAGACGGAGAGAGAACATTCTAGAACGTATTTTTAGAGGTTTTTCTCAGGAATATTCTTGAAGATAAGTTAAAGATTATATATATATATATTCTGCCTGACCTGGGAGAGAGTAGTAGTAGAATAGTGTGGCTTGCGTTCAAAGATTAGGCTGAGAGCGATAGACCTAGTCGGGAGCTGTACTTTTGTACTTTAGTGCTCTGCCGAGATAGCCTGAAGGCCACATTGCTGATTGTTTCAGTGTGTTTATAATGGTCTTTTCAACAGCTGTAAACATGTTTTTAGAACTGTCCTAATTAACTCTAGCGAAGAGCTTGTGTTTTGTTTCTTCATCAAGTGTTATCATCAATTACTCCAAATCCACGGACCGGTAGACCGCAACAATACGTATTCCATTAAGACTTGCGACCTGAAGTTCCTCTCCATTTTCAAAAATTTACTCTTTTGAAACCAAACAATCGATCATAATTTTGGAAATGTTTTATAAGATAATTAATTAAACACAAATGCATATCAAATAAAAAAGAAACGTAAAATGTAACTGATATGATACTGATTTATGCATACGTAGGGTTTATACAAAGGGTAACTCGGGTATATTTAAAAAAATCATTTAAATCAGCTGACTGGAGTTTGTAAATGCGATTTGAGCCTATACACAAAGCACAAAAGCGCCCTTTCCTATTTTCTGGTAAGGTATATTTTAATTTGAATTTTCACCAATAGGTGCACTCTGCCTCTGGTTAGGTTAGGTTTTTTGAATGCAGCCACGAGGGCACGAGGGCCTGGATATGCAACCAATTCACTACACGAGTACACGAGGGCTATTTGCCTGAGGGAAGGGATGTTATCGTGACTGTTTAAAGCAACCTAGCTCATTTCACGTTGCGCTTGGGAAACCGAAAACCAACCATGTAGTCAGCCGCTTCCACGGGTTCAAATCCAGGTCGAAGTAACAGTACGGTACAATCTTAACGGTTCGGAAACTGGAGGGAACTCTATCTCACATGACGTCACAATTTGCAAGGTTATAGGTATTAAAAGATGATGTGAGAGTAAGAGATCAAGATGGATTATTAAATTATTAGCAGTATTAAAATACGTTTTCGAAAAAATAGCGTATAACCTTATTTTTTCTCATTCTATTTTATGATGCGACACCTTTAGGTGCAAGTCGTTTTATGATATCGCAATTCAGAAGTACACAGATGTATCGGACACCCTATGAATAACGTATATGATGCATTATTGATTTACGAATATATACTCAAATTCAGTAATATTACATGTTACTTTGGTATTCATGAAAACGGAGAGAAAATCGCAACTATTTTTTATACTTACATATAATGCAACAAACATCCTTTTTTTTTTTTTTTTTTTTTTTTTTTTTTTTTTTTTTGCACTAGCTCATCCCACGAATATTATCTGGAAGAATGATCCATAACGGTGGACTGGAGCTTCCCTTCGTTTGCATTTTTGCATAACGCTTTGTCCAATGGATCCTTTTTTTATGTACAACTTCCCTTCTATTTTCTATTCCTCGCCTCTGGCGACATTTTATTGCCTTATTTCGTCCTAGTGACTCTTCTCATTAACTGACTCTTCTCATTAAAACTAAACGTAAGCTGTGACTCTTGTCATTAAAACTAAACTTAAGCTGCCATCATGTCTAAGGCATTTTATTAAATAAAAAAAAATCTGAAAGCTTTTAGATTTTACAGCAAAAGGACATTTGTATGTAAATACACATAGGCGTTTCGAAAGCACTTGGGTTAAAAATATTTAAAGTCAGCATAGCTTCACAATTTCCGATAGACTTCTTTTTTACTTCGTACAAGGAAGTAAAAAAACGTTAGCAGTACTGATTGCTGTTATTGACGGTAGTTTTATGAGACGTTTTTTAATAGGGGAGAGAATGCTTTAATCAACATTGCATCTAGCAGAAAATAATTCAAAGATGATTGTGAAATATAAGATAAAAGTTAGGTCAGTAAACTTTGATAAAGAGATTTTGCGAAGTTTCGGGGTCCATTGCATATATTTGGTATTTAACGCATACTTTGTACTGTATTTTGTTTCTTCCTTTTTATTTAAAAAATTTATTGACTAAATGTTGATTTATATTCTTTTCTCTCGTTAGATCTTATAAATATGAAATACTAACTTAAATGGAATATCACAAATTAAAAATAATTATTTAAAAAGCGTGGAACGATTGCTACATCCCTATAGTGCGAATTTGAATCTGACGCCATATTATGCATTATAATGAGAGAATCGTTGATTTAAGAAACGAAATTTCTTGAAGAGATACGTTTTAAGTATATTCTCTTTTAAAGTTGCAGGATCATTTAATAGATTGGATCAAAGTTCCCTTTACTCCATTTCAGATATCAAGAGTCAGGTGTGGGCAGTGAGATGTCTGTGAAGAACATTTAAATTTTGCTCTAAATCTGCAAACTGCCGGATTTTCATTTTCATGGTATTAATTAGTACAAGAAAGAAGAAAATTGGCTCAATATTTTGAGGTGCTTTAATTGGAGGTCGTAATTAATGATTTGAGTTGACATTACAGTGATTTAATATTGTTTCGTATCGTAATAAAAATTGTAACCAATTTTTGAACTGAATTTTCGGATAATTTCAATATTTAAACAGATGTGTATTGTGTTATTTCTTATAGAACAAGGAGCGTTGGTTATATTTACGAGGGATTTATTTTACAAACTTAATTTTATAGATATCAATTTTTGTAACGTTATGGAGGAGAAGTAAACATTTTTTGTTTGTTTCTAATGACTAGGGAAAAACGTCCCAAAAAACAAAATCTTATAAACAAAGATTACAAACAATAGAACTAAGAACAAAATGGTCTTGCCTCTCAGTATCTCAACCCTTCTGTAAGACCAAGAAGAGCCCGCATCGATGTAGGTGGTCCCTGTCCATTTCTTCTCCATAATAACAAAGTGGATCTCTTGAAATACCTATGCGGTGCAGGCGAGCGAAAAGGCAATCATGCCCTGTAGACAGACGGAAAGCCGCAACTTCTTTGTGTCTTGGAATAACGGGATTAAGAGCAGGAATTATCATTATCCAACTTAAGGCTGTAGGAGTCTGAAGATCTTGTAAGATATTAGAGGTAAATAAGCCATTTAGAAACAGTTTAATCCTTCAATAATAAAAGGTTGTATTAAGATGTTGAAATAATCTGGAACCTCTTTTACAAGGAAAAAGAACGCTTCTTCATTGCCCAAAGGACACAATAGCCAGGCACTCACTGAGGAACGATTTGTTTATTCTTTAAATTGAGAGTTCTCAGGAGTTCTTGAGATTTCAAAACTTCAGGTGTAAATGGGTGTTCAACAAAGTAGTAAACTATGGCTTGATGAATTATTTTTTGATACAGTATACTTTTACTCTGAATAAAAAGGTAGTTGCATTTTCCTAGAAGAGGTTTCAAGTTTGATATGAAAGTATTAACTTTATTTTTGAGTTTGAAAAAGAGAGGTCTAAAAGTGAGTGTGATAGTTAGGTAATATAACTGGGCGCAGCCTACATAACTGGTATATAGTCCTCCACCTGATCGATATATAGTCGGTTTTAAGACGAGACGAACTACGCTCAGTTTAACGCGAAACGAGAAAGTCCAGCAGTGTTCATGTATGTCCTAACAAAGGTATTAACTGGAGTCTGAAAAACCACAGCCCTGAGCTTTTAGTAATTCAAAAATTATTGTACAATTATTTATAAAACTAATAAATATACATGTAGCCAAACTCACACAAAACTATTTCTGAAGCTGGAAGTCACTACAGCTTTGCTAAATAGAACTAATAAATTTGATTTCCCAGTGTTCATTTAACTTTTCTAATAAGTATGCCATGGTTATACCAAATCAGTTTAATGCTGCAATAGATTATGAATATTTCCTAGTATTTTGGCTTTGTCAGAACAGTTGTGTCTATTTGAATTTTAGAATGGTTGTGATATATGGTAAATGTGTATGTTTAGTAATATGCAGCTGAAGCTTGGAGAACTTTAGCTTTAATCGAATGTGTAAGTTGCCGCTGACGTGAAGACAACAGTGGTGAGAATTCCTTTGAATCACAAAACAGTAAATTCTGTTCCTCTAATTAACGATTCTTTTACTGCTTTATGTGGTATGTATAATCACTTTTACAATGCTAATCGAAGTTTTAATTGTTCAGGTTTAAAAATATACAAAATTATGTTTTAGTAACAGTTTCAGGATGCGAAAAGATAGAACGCTCTATTTTGAAACTATAGATTTTGCTGCATAAAACAACTGTTGCTATGATGTTTAATATATACTATATAATTCAGTGATGAATAAAGTAGATAGAAGCCAGCACTTCATTTATACTTTAATATGAGTTCTTTTAACATTTAGCAATCCGAGGTTTATATAATTGAAACTGAAAGTTATTTATTTTGTTTATTTTCCGTCTTAGCGTGAAAAGAGAAAGATTTTGTTTTCATAAACCTGAAGAATGTTATACTCCAGAGAATGTGACAGAGTTTTGCCTGAAATACAGCTACTATTGTAAAAGGTCCAAGCTCCCGACGAACTTTTCGGTAACTATTTACTTTTATTTATATTTAAATTTTAATTAAATCTTTTGTCATTTTGCATATTGTAAGTATTCTTCTTCTGCAGAATGGAACCGAGACATCTTTTCTATATTTATTTTAGACAAATACTCATTTTCTCTTTCATGGTGATGATGATACTCTCCATGCTCTAAGATAAATTTTTATGCAACACCCATACTAATAACATATGCTATAAATCTTTCAAGAAGTAAAATCAGAAATTGTATCTTACATCGCACATTCATATATATTACTTTCAGATATTCATATTATACATTAGTATCAGATATTCATTATATCTTGTCAAAGTAATTTGATATATATAGACCAAATCAAAATTTCGCGTCAAGAAATAGGAATTTTTAGAATAAATAAGAGCTATTACATTTCATCACTTAACAACCGCTTTGACTTCAGTTCTTGTCGTGGTGTGCACTACTATTAGGCGTTGTAATATGACAATCTAACCAAATATCTATCTAGAAATCCTTAATTAAATTTACATGTGCCCAATATTTACTGGCTTGAATTCTTAGTGGTAGTACATTGCAAATTAAACCTTAGTGACAAGAATAATTAAATATTTCACTTACCCAATAACCCACATGCATGAGACTTGCGGAGACAAATTTCTTTTTCTAATCTCACATTTATTTTATCAAACACATTTTCTGGATTAAATATGGAACATTTATCACACACATATAAAATATCAAAATATCATAACTTAGAACACAAAAACGTGATAAATTAAAATGCAATAGTAGGCTAATGCCGAAACAGGACTATTCGGAGATAAATTACAATCCTGTCTCATCGAACATATATGCAGTCACAATTTTCTCATATTCATTTCGTGCAATGCCCATAATATTGTTGTACACGTGCAAGATCTTTTTTTTTTCACTTTCACATTCTTTAACACACTTAAAATAATCACGTGGTCACACATCGCTGGTAATGCACATTCTGGAGTCGAACACCTATAGATAATCTCCTTGAGATGTTTTAGAACTGTATCGTGGCAGATGGATTTTAACACTGAGCATTTTCATCTAAATCAATCGCATTCTTTAGTTCTGCTTCTTTTTATGCAAAAAATACGACGACACTCCATGTGAAAATATCAGGAACGATGAAACCATTAGCGCGACATGCAGGAGCACAAAACCGCACAACGTGGGGCATCGCTAATTGACAAGCGACTGCAGGAAGATCACGGGCGCAGAAGGGAAGAAAATCAGTCTGACCTTATATAAACACGTACATTTCCGCGATTACAATTAAAATTTGTGATCCTGGCAAACTGCGTGGTGTGAGAAGTTATTCTCACAGTTCAGCAAAATGTAACTATAAAACTTCTTCAGTTGTGGAATTAGATTTCCCTGAAACGTTTCGTACTCATAAAGTTATTTTTTTCAATAAAAGCCATTTTATTTTCAAATCAGTTTTTTGTTCAACAATCACAAAATTTGAATATCTTATGAGTTCATATATGTCGTTACTATATTTGTGTTGCCTCTATTGATTTACTTACTAAACTGTTGTCGCTCTTCTCTCTTTTGAAAAATTGTTTGCTCTGAAGAAGTAGGATCTATATCTGATTGCTCTCGAAGTTTAGTATTTTATTCAGAATTTGAGTTAAACTGACGTTTCCTTTAACTTATAAGCCTGTCAAAAATACTTTTTTTTTTTTTTTACTTATTACGTGCTCCGCCCTTAGACACTATACGGAAAGGGAGGAATGCCCTGTAGAGGACCTTTTTAAAGAAATTGGTTCTTATCCAAGTTACACATGGCGAAAACCACGAAACCCGTTCGCTGGGATTCGAATCCCAGACGGAACTACCAGTATTCAACGGCGTTTACCTCTCATGGGCTGGTGTCACAAATATTTCGCTTTGTAATGCTTCTGGAGTTAAATTTCAGTCAAAATGCAAATATTAGTTTGCTTTTTTTTTATAAAAATGTGTATTTTTTAATATTTTAAAAGGTTTATTTATTTATTTATTCTTAAATTTTAAAATTTGATGTTTTCTTATTGCCATTTACAATTTTGCGTTTTTTAACAATTGCTAGTTTTCTAATTCAAAGCACTTTGTTCTTGCAGTTTTATGCCATTATTAGGAATAATCACTTTAACAAAATGGAATATTTCGGCTACGTTCGTAAATTAATGAAGAATAAGCAAAGAAAGAAGTTATGAATGAAGGAAAAAGCAGAATTATCTAAATGAATGTAGGAATAGTGTTTGTAACTTATCTCTAAGAACTAAACTATTGAATACTAAGACAGAGTTATTATAAAGTATTGAGGTTATTGTGCATATCCGATCTTTACGGACCGGCATATTTTTTTCTGAATCTTCTTTGGCATCTGTCCAGATAAGTTTTAATGTGTTCGTATATCCGAGGTTGCCCAGCAAAAAATATTCCGTGCGGTACAATGGTATAAAGCAAAAAGACTTTTATTTGTTATTCTTACAATATTAGTATGGCGTATTCAAGAAGCTTTTTGTGTCTGTAAAATACCTTTTTTTGTTTGCTTTTAAAATAAGTAATAAACCTTTTTTTGTTTGCTTTTACTTCTACATTAATATGAAATAGTATATTGATAGGAAATATTAATATCGTTTCTATAATGCTGTAATGATATATTGTATAAGTTCAAAAAGATTATTATGTCTGCAAAACATACAAGGAGGCTCAAAAATAATAAAAACTCGGTCGTCGGATTATCATTTGTACATCAATTGTAGAACTACCCTTCTTATCAAGAATATTTTTTTTTTCTTACAATTCGATTAAGTGCTTGATTCAGGAGGTCTAGTTTTTGGTTATCAAGGCATTTCGATATGTTTACCTACTTAAAGTTACATGTAAGGCCCAATAGCGACCGAGCGGCAAAGTCGCTGAACACTGGTAGTTCGGTGTAAAGTTCGAATCCGGCCACCGGGCTGTCTGCATTGGCACTTTCATGGTTTTTCTCAGAAAGACCGCCACGAAGGCACCTCATTCGTTAAGCAGGTACTGAGTACTTTGCCGTAATTAAGTAAACCAAATTATTAAGACACAATAACACGCCGAATAAATACTAATTCAGAAGTCAAACAACAAAAATCAGCGTTATATTTACAATATTTTCACAGGACTAGTTTTGATGGTTTTACCGAACCACCATCTTCAGCTGCAAAACCGCAAATGAACAAGATAGGAAATAATGATTAGATAAGATAAGAAAGCCTGGACAAGAATAAGCAAGTGGCGCCATCTGTTGGTGAAACCAGAACTAAAACATAATTTCTTTAAAGGCCGAAGGCAAATTTGGATTGGAATTAGGATCGTTAACTAGAACAGAAAGATTTTTATGAATGTGAAATGCCTCTAGAAAATCCAGTTCTCCAATGGAAGATGTTTTTTGAATAATTTTGGCAGCAGAAAAACTGAAAGTGTGGTTTTCGGATCAACAATGTTGAGCAACAGAAGACTTCTGTGTTTCCTTTTTTCTAACATATGCCTCATGTTCCTTGACGCGAAATTTTAAGGCTCTCTTAGTTTGGCCAATGTAAATTAAACCACACTGGCAAGGAATCCTATAAATACCCCAGGAATTCATATTCGGAATGGGGTCCTTGAGTATGGAACTCGGAATTTTATTGATGGGAGAATAAACAACCCGAAAGTTAAATTTCTGCAAAATATGTGCAACTTTATAGCTAATTGATGGACAAGAAGGGAATGACAACAGAATTTTTATAATCTCCTAAAACAAGAGTGTGCCTTTTAGTGTGTTGAGATGAGAATGTTTTAAAACTGCTTGATTAATAATGTTGGGTGGAAAAGCCCCTGTCAATAGCTATTGCTTTTAAATACTTTAGTTCTTCATCAAGGGCTAGTTTGGAGGAGCAAACTTGAAGAGCACGGAAAACATAGGAATAAAATGAAGCTAACTTTTGTTTAGTCGGATGACATGATTTAAAGTGTGGTGGAAGGCAAACCGATGAAGGTTTACGGTAAACCGTAGTACTGAAGTTGGATGTGTTACGTGTGACCAGAATGTCGAGAAACGGAAAGAGAATTGCAAGTCTCAAGTTCAAAAGTTAACTGAATAGCAGGATCAATAGAATTCATTGTTGAAAAGAACTTTATTTAAATCATCTTTATTACCTTCAAACAGAGGTAAAAGTATCGTCTACGTAGCGGAACCATGCCGGGAAGTTTAAAGTTTCAAACAATTTTGATTCATAATAATGCATGTAGATATCAGCCAGGATGGGACTGAGGGGGCTTCCCATGGCTAATCCCTCAGTTTGCTTGTAATATTTATTTTGGAAAACAAAATGTGTTTGTTTCAAACAGAGTTGAGTGAGAGAAATTAGCTCATCAATTTCGATGCAAGAGAAATGAACTTCGCGAAGTCTGGTTTCTAGACATCTTAATGCACCCTCCACTGGGACATTGGTGAATAATGATTTTACATCAAAAGGAACCATGAGTAAAGTACTAGGAGAAATGTTTTTACCTTTTTTTTACAAACTCTATTGAATTTTTTATGGTGTAAATGTTATTGTCTAATAGAGTTGAAAATCTAGAAACTAAATATTTAGCTAATGGATACGAGGCAGTACCTAAATTTGATACAATAGGGCGGAAAGGAATACCACTTTTATGAATTTTGGGAAGAGCATATAATCTGGCACAATTCGCAACAGATGGGATAAGTGAATGTTTTAAGTTGCCTGAAATGATTTGCGAAGATTTGATCGCAGTTTTTATTTTGACAAGTCCGAAGGTGAAGGATCTTTAGGGATCGGATTATGGTAAGTGAGACACTTACATCGAGTGACACCATCGATGTATGTGTTCCTATCCATGACGACTATCTGGCCACCTTTGTCGGCCTTTGAAATAATAATATCCGGGTTAGAATGAATTTCACGCAATGTAGCTCTTTCTCTCGCAGTTAGATTTGGTTTCAAAGCTTTATTATTGAATTTCACATTATGAGCGATAAGATGCCTAATCATTTATTTCTGTGAATCTGAAACTTTACTGAACTTGAAAGCTTTTTCGATAGGAGCCAATATCTTTGGAATCGAAAGTTTACAGGTTTGTGAGAAGTTAAAATTATATTTTAGAATTCTCTCTTGTTCTTCTGAAAGACTAACATTAGAAATATTAACTATTGGCTTGATGTTTACAATGGGAAGATTTTTTGAACTACTTGAACTGGAAGATTGTAAAAGAAGTTTTTCGACTTTTGAACTTGAGACTTGCAATTCTCTTCCGTTTCTCGACATTCTGGTCACACGTAACACATCCAACTTCAGTACTACGGTTTACCGTAAACCTTCATCGGTTTGCCTTCCACCACACTTTAAATCATGTCATCCGACTAAACAAAAGTTAGCTTCATTTTATTCCTATGTTTTCCGTGCTCTTCAAGTTTGCTCCTCCAAACTAGGCCTTGATAAAGAACTAAAGTATTTAAAAGCAATAGCTATTGACAGGGGCTTTCCACCCAACATTATTAATCAAGCAGTTAAAACATTCTCATCTCAACACACTAAAAGGCACACTCTTGTTTTAGGAGATTATAAAAATTCTGTTGTCATTCCCTTCTTTCCATCAATTAGCTATAAAGTTGCACATATTTTGCAGAAATTTAACTTTCGGGTTGTTTATTCTCCCATCAATAAAATTCCGAGTTCCATACTCAAGGACCCCATTCCGGATATGAATTCCTGGGGTATTTATAGGATTCCTTGCCAGTGTGGTTTAATTTACATTGGCAAAACTAAGAGAGCCTTAAAATTTCGCGTCAAGGAACATGAGGCATATGTTAGAAAAAAGGAAACACAGAAGTCTTCTGTTGCTCAACATTGTTGATCCGAAAACCACACTTTCAGTTTTTCTGCTGCCAAAATTATTCAAAAAACATCTTCCATTGGAGAACTGGATTTTCTAGAGGCATTTCACATTCATAAAAATCTTTCTGTTCTAGTTAACGATCCTAATTCCAATCCAAATTTGCCTTCGGCCTTTAAAGAAATTATGTTTTAGTTCTGGTTTCACCAACAGATGGTAACAAGACACTTGCTTATTCTTTTTCAGGCTTTCTTATCTTGTTCATTTGCGGTTTTGCAGCTGAAGATGGTGGTTCGGTAAAACCATCGAAACTAGTCCTGTGAAAATTTTGTAAATATAACGCTGATTTTTGTTGTTTGACTTCTGAAACCAAATTATGTTAAATGTTTGCGGTTTTGATTTAAAATCGGAGAAGTATTTTTTTTTTCCTTTCATTAGGGATACGCTTATTAACAGCTTGATTTTAATAAAATATTGATGAAAATCTGGTCATCCTATGCTACAATGTTATAAGATAAACTCAGCGTAAAAAATATTCTTAGTTGAGTCATCACTTTCGATAAAGTCAGAAATAGGGTATTACCTGAATATTTGTCTGCCAATATTAGCTAGAATTGAATTTATTCATGCTTAATAAAATCTTTAAGTAAGGTACAGAAATAAGCAGAGTATTTTAATACTCTCTAGAATTAATATTCAGATCATCTCTCTAGAATTTACAACTACTACTAATGTGTGCAAATTTCTTTATCTTTCATTTAATTGTTATTTTAACAGGTTGGTGTTTCTTCCCAGATACCGTTTGAAGATTTGCTTCCTTTTGGGCAGAAGGCGAATGAATTCATATCCGTAGTTACTTCTGGAAACAGGTAATTAGAAACATCTTATGGATACAGAATAAGATACTATGTGTTACAATAATTACAAATAAGTTACATAGCAAACTAATGGAAACGAAATCGAACAAGGCCAGTCTGACTTTTTAACTTGAACTGAATCTTGTGTGCTATATTCTTCAAAGCAGTTCTTTTAGCTTTTATTTATCGTTAAAAAAAAAAACCTGTGTTGAAACTGGAATGATCTCTGAGAAATTTTTCATAGAAATGCATTTAGCACTTTCTTCGGTGGAGCCTGATTACTTTTTAAAGAATTCGAAATGCTGAACTTTAATTTACATTTCATCATCGGAAATGTAAGAGGGCCATAGAATCTTAAATATTGTATGTAGGGCATTACTACTACAAGTACTATCAGAAATTTCACATTTTCAGGGCATTACCATTGTGCAATATTGAGATGAAGCAACTAATTCTCAGATCTCAGATTTCTGTAGCCTTCCTCAATCACATAAAAATACCACTACACAATATCGCACAGACTGTGTTACTTAGAAGGGGAAAACAGAAGAGCATTATTAACGTCGTTAACGTTGATCTTTCACATTAATGACCGTTCTGCTTTAAGCGGGTTTAGAAATCCTCTGTGTTATGGGTTTGAATCAGGCTGAATCTTGTCAGACCCTGATTTTGCACGAAATTGACCGTATGCCCAAGACCGCCGATTTAATGCTGTTTTTTACGCTTTTAAACTTTGAGTTTCATAGAATTAAATTTTATAAATAGAAAATATATTGCTTTATAAATGCTAAATTTCAGATTTCGGATTTTCAAATTTTATAGCTTTCTCATAAAATTGTATCTTCGACCGTTGCCTTGAAAACTGAGGGTTTGATAAGTGATATCACTTATCAAAGCCTCAGTTTAATAACTAATGTTACATACTGCCAGTTTCTGCTACTGTGTGACCTCCACGTGTGAAGTTCTTGATGGAAAGAGAATATGAGGGCCTTTATTAATCGCAGGTGTTGTCATATTTGATTATTAAATTGGTAATTTACTTTATTTCGTTATTATAATCATGTCAATGTAGTTTAATTGATTAAGTTTTGTAATAACTTCAGGAAGAATTCTTTAAGTTCTTCCCTTTATTCCAAATGTTTTCAACAAAAAAGACCTCTGTTTAAAATACGAAGGTTAATCTTTATTAAGGTCTGTTTTGCTTTAAAAAAGGAAACAAAGGGAATTTTTCAAAAAGCCATTTATTTTCTGAATTAAGATGCAATTTTGTATTTATTTACATGATTTTCAAGAACAGTAAATTTTTAGTTATCCTTACATAGAACTCTTCTATAGGAGATTGATAGCCAGTTTTTCACTTCCTTATCGGTCATTTTCATTTCCTCATGGCACTTGCTCAAATCATGTGTGAGTGAATTTCGACCTTAACTGCCTACTTCATCGTTAGTGTCAACCAGAGTGGGATGAAAGTTGTGTAAATGTACTCGATAGCAATCAGGGCCAGCCAGAGCGTGATTCTTTATGCAGCTTTTTCCGAACTTTCTTGAGCAATCTCACTCATGTTTGCAAATTATTGTCGCCATACACTTAACATATATGGTGATACATATAAGCAATTTCTAGGTTTCTTGCCGTCTAAATCGGAGGATTGACGGTTTTTTACAGTCGGTGGGGCGCTCAGTTTTCTTCAATTTTTTAATCTCTGAGTAGAAGCATAAAGACTGACGTCGTGAATAAAAATGGCTTTGTATTCTCACGAAAGGATGTCAGGAATGTACTCATTTTCCTGCACACAATAAATTTTAAACAGTTTTTCTTAATTGGAGTTAGACATAACCTGCGTATAAAAGCTGACATTTTACACAAGACATAAACTGGAAACGTTAAAACAAAACATATGAAAAAGGGAAATATACTTTTTAACTTTGCATGAAAAAATATTAAATTACTTGATTATTTCATGAAATAATTATATATATTTCTCATCAGTAATATCTACCACATTGCAAAGAGTTACAGCAGGAGAAGCCTTCATAAAGAGAGGATATAAGCCGTTCGTAGCACGCCGCGCGCGCAGGTATAAATTCGTCCTCATAATGCCTCATATATGCCTTTTGATGACATCATTTCCTCTACGCTTAAGAACGTCTTGGCGTTGATGGACTCGAGCATGGCCAACTGCTTACGCGGCCCTGAATTCGAAAATCGTCACTGATCTTACCAGAATCGAATTGCTCTTTTCCCAACATTTTTCTTCCATTTGCCCTTTCATATTCTTGGCATTCCTCGTGTAATTGAAATACATTTTCATGATATTTTATACTTTCTGCTATTCCCATCCCATTACTGAAATATTCAATCAACTGTTTCTTGGCTTTTAGATGAGAAGGAAAACAATACAAAACTTCATCTGTATTCAAAGTTTGGGTCTGACCAGTAAACTTTTCTCAGCATTATGCAACATTTGACTACAGAAATTTGAATTTGCTTATATGTAATTTCTTTAACACATATAAGGAAATCACTTCAAAGTCTTTATTGTTTTCAGGTTGTAGATTTTGCGTGTCAAAATGCGTTGATGGACTCAAAATGAATTATTGTCACTGCAGTGGAATATTTATTACAAGCTTTGTCTTTAAATGATGCAATAAAATAAATGTGCAGCTTCATCTTAAATAATTAAACTCGTTTATCAATTAAAGGTACAAAATCCATATGGTATCAATTTGTGATGAAACGTATCCTACTTGTAATCCTCTGATTCTCTAACGATTAGAATAAACGAACGAGTGAAACTCTCTGCGGTATGATTTGCAAGGGAATGAGAATGGGAGAACTAAAATATAGAAAAGAAATTCATCTCTAAAGTTGTATATATGTTTTGTGACTTGACCATAAGATTAAACACAGATTAAACGAATTTAAATAACAAATAAACAATATTAAATAAAGATTAAACAAAGGTGGATCAATTATTTTATTGTTTTATTTTACAACATTACCTAGTAATGAGCATTAAATTTAATAAAATAAATCAGATCATGAAATTAATCAAAAACTACTTCACTACACACAATGTTTCGGGTGAAAACATTACTTAGGATTGTTAAAAAGTTGTTCAACCTTAATTATAATGTCAGAAACATAGTGATAAATAGCGCTAAATTTAGTGCTAAAGAATATACTTTCTCATAATGTAATGAGCACACCACTTGCAGATGGGGAAAATTTTGGCTCTTTACGTATGGAGAAAGAGTGGAGGGAAGTAGCTTTCCTCTTTGACCTTAAATGATCAGCTGATTGCGTCCACTCTACACACACTTTTTTCTCTTCTCCTTTTCTATTGTAAGGTCATTAGTCCCCTCCCATTATATGTCTTTCCCATCTGAAAATCTAGTTTTTAAATATAAAATTCCATGTTCGGGGAGATGCAAATTCTAGAAGACCAGATCTCAGATTAGTAGGCTAACCGGAGTAACATAGCTTCAGGCAGTTTCATTTATTAAGCTGAAATCTACATAACGTATTAAGATCGCAATTTCCTTTAAGTAATGATTTTTATATTTTTAAAATATTTCTTGAAGCTTCAATGTGTAACGTATTTGCGTTGCTACGCTACCAACATAATTCCACTAAGAAATGTAAATTATCGCAGACGATGCGCGCTTTAAAAATGATTTTCAGTTATTCTGTAAATTTTGACTAATAAAGTTTGTTGTTCGTTCAAAAATGGCGAGAGTTCTTTAAAACTTCATTATAGACGTATACAAGAATAAATATCTGGTGGTAGTCGCTGGGATCGAAAGGTGAAACCAGTGTTTATTTAAAATCAAAAGAAAATACAGTACTTGTGAATAATAAGTTTTAATGAGTACTGTGCCATTTTGTATGAAAATATTGCATCTTATTATTGAATTCAACTAAACGAACGATATTTTAAGCTTTTGGATTAAAGTGTCAAAATATTTAATGTTCTTTTAAAATTGGAGCTCTTGTATTAGGGTGGCAAATTTATTGCGTTGATATTAGAATATTTCCATTATGAAATTTGAGCTCTCGTATTAGAGTCGCAAATTTATTACCTTAATATTAGAATATTGCTATTATAAAATTTGAGCTTTTGTATTAAAGTGGTAAATTTATTACGTTAATATTAGAATATTTATTTATGAAATCGGAGCTCTTCTATTAGAGTCGTAAAAATCTAGAATTTTGTTGTGTGAATCAAGTTAGAGGCTTGAATTCTTTTTTTATTTACTCTAGTATAATTTATAAGGAGCAAACTTCGCATATTTTTGTTTATCGGAAAGCACATATGTTGTATTACATTAAGTGTTTTAGAAAAAAAAATACGTTGTGTCATACTTAAATTTCTAATAAAAAAAAGTTAGATTGAGCAAGTTCATTTGAATTTTTGAATATTGACTAAAAGCCTTTAAAATTAATTTTGAAAATGCTGTCGAAGAGTTTTTCTATTTCCAAACATGTCATTTCTTGCCAAAGGTAGAAAACAAGATTTAATAGAGGTAGCCGAAGAATTAGGCCAGGAAGTGCCGCTAACTAGTAAAGTACCAGAAATTTTAAAAAAATAATCACTGAAAGTCAGTTTTACGATGAGGAAGAAGTTAAACTACACCGAATACTTGAATTCTAGACTGAATACTTGCTGAATGCCTGGCTCGAGAAGCAAGGGCATATGAATTGGAAATAAAGCTGCTTGAAATTGAAAATCAAGTAATATGAGCTAAATAACCAACAGTGCATATAGTAGAATCAAGCAACAAAATCCAGTTGTCACAAATTACTCCAAAGTTTGACGAAAAAAGAGATGAAATGGGACTATATTTGATCAATTTTGAGAGAAAAGCTCAGGTTCCTAAGAAAGATTGGGTGGCTTATCTTTTGGGTGTTTTACAAACCGAAATCTCCAATATGTTAGCAAAAGAACCATCTGAAGATGCGAATAAATACGAATATGTGAACTAATCTTAAGAGATATAAACTTAACAGTG